AAATTGATACAGACTTGTTGTTCCTGGTGGCAAATCTCAAGCATCTCTTCGACGGCGTCAAGGGCCCCTGCTCGAATATAATCCATGGACAGCTAAACTGCACGTGTAAACTGCACGTGGAACGCCACCAGCCGTTTGATCCGTCTATCCGGCACTAAGAATCTCCTAACTAGCCATGTGATAGCGCGCAAAATGTAAAGAGCTCTCTGACTCAGGCGGATTGTTCGGCCTGACTCAGGCGGCTTGTCGAGGGCCTTCCGTCGGACAACTTTTACCCCGTCTGCATTCTCGAGTTCCGCCGGGCATCGACGTCGACCGGTGCTTCGGCCTGGCCCGCTTGCTGTCCGTGACCCGACATCGCCGGTAGTTTGTTCATCTCAACTGTGAAGAGCCGTAAAAATGACGATGAGCCTTGCTGTGGAGGAGTCGAGGATGCTTGCTATTCACCCATGCCCTTTCAAAGGCAATTGAGTTTAACACCACCGACTACACAAGAGGCAAGTATGAAATTTCAACATGATGAATGGTCAGTGCTGGGCCATCCGTCCGGCCCCAAAGTGGGACGTCATTTGCCCCCTGGTGGGCTTGCCGGTTAAACTGGTGAGCTGATAACCGTGCCTAGTGGGATCTGGGGGGTGAAAAAATTCAGCCGGCTATTATAGCTTGGACAAGGCTAATTTTCCCGAGTTATTATCTTCCAGTACAGATTTAACCGGGACCTGGGGCACGTTGCTTGGACCGTATAAGGCAATCTAGAGCTATATTATGCCTGTTGGTAGTGAATTGGCCAGCAGTTGAAAATGGCGTCTGGCTTGCTCCTACATTGAGCTCATCTGCATAGTGACGTTTCACTTATTCTATTATGTTGACGGGAACCCAGTTCATGCACTGTGCGAGCGGTTGGCTCACATTCGAATAGGGAGTTTGAGTGCTGGAGGCCATATGAACAATATGATGCGAGCATCGGACAGTTTTATCAAATCTTTCTCAAGCCGCGTAGGCGTGAATGACGTGGGCGCACGGATAGTCCATGACGGAATATATCTGCCTATTGAATAATAAGCGCTGACTATTATATAGTATGTAGTTGTCAATTTTCATACCTGCTTTTCCCTAAAAGACTTCAAGTAGTTCTAAATACCTAGACTAGCATGGGCCAGAGCTAGCGTATAAAAATAAACAATTACGTCTATATATTTTGATATGATTTAGTTGCAGCATGTTTATTGGTTTCATACAAGTTCTCTTTGCATTGAGCATAAACCGGGCTCACATAGTAAGTTGATATATGATGCGAGTCCCAGGCCGGCGAGTTTACCCCCTTTATATTCACCACTGGCTGCGGATCAACTTCTTAGCCGTAGCAGTTGTGCTCGAGATGTCTCAAAACCCAACTTTGCGGAAGTCAGCTCCGCCGCAAAGTAGTATAGCGTGGTGTATTTTCTGTGATTATTCAAATCTACGGACACGTCATGCAAGTGGCGGGACATCTACTCGTCCGGCTCTTTCTATGACTGGTTGGTTTATACAAGTCGGCGTGAATGTCGGCGGAGCAATTTTGGTCACGGGGCCGTTTATTCCACGATTGATAGTCCCGTAACTCGGGTCCAATCTTGGGGCTTGATTCCTTGCCGCCCCGTTCTGTTTGGTCTAGATGGTTGTCTTTGCTGCTTCTGCTGGGTGGTCGTGTTTACGTTTGGTTGCGGTCGGTGCCCCGACTATTTCGGCCAAGAGGCCGTAATTTACTGCCACGAAATCAACCAGACTCGGCAAAAGAGAATGCCGCGATTCCGCTAATGCTTCCGCTGATGGCTTATAACCTCTGGCTTTGTATAAGGCCTGTATTTCTTTCGTTGATATTTATGGACAGGTCCCGGTGGTGTTGCGGTGGTGGCTGGTCTGGGCTGCTGTGGATATGCTCGCTCTTGTATGCCTCGTGCTCTTTTTGAAAACCGCCCGTGTACAGTCATTTTCCGTGTGTAGACAAGCCGTGCTGGCTTCTTGTCTCACTAGCCGAGTCTTTCTGGGCAGTTTGCTGAAGCCCCACGCATATATCGGCATCTGTTGTCCAAGCAAGGCTGTCTTGCCAGGTATTGGGTTAGAGTATGCAGCGTAGGGAATTTGTGAAAACTCTTGTCAGATGTGTCATTCACGGTGCTGGGAGCTGACTTGCGCTGGGTGTTATGGAACCACTATGCGTGATGGGTTTCGTGGACGGTAGTTTCTGACGAGTTTCTTTGGCTACGCATGGGTTACGTTTAGTCGTTTCATACTTGGTGCTTGGCATTAAAGACTATACAAACGGATTGCACTCTTATGCTCAACGCTTCAAATCTACAACACCCAAATGTCACGCCGCCACCAAAGTCGGCGCTTCCCACGACAAGGAAACCAAGTTCGCCGCGACGGCAGCAGGAGAAAAGAAGTAGTGATTTGTCTAAATAAGCCGCCCGATCGGGTGTCGCGCAGTACACTCCCTGATGTGATGGTACAATGGAGCAGAATTGGCGACATGTGAAAGTAAAACACCAGCCCAGGCCCCTGACGCTTTGTCAACTGTCCACGCTGACGGGTATACGCTGCCCAGCACACGACGAAATGGCGGCGCTTGGGCCGGATACCCGATGTACAAGAGGAGCTTATGACTGTACACGTGTTCTGTAAGCTGGGATGGCCACCAATCCTCGCATTGGACGCGTCCCTTTTCCTGGCATTCTGTTAGAACCTGTCTCTCTTGCACGGCCACGGAAATGGAAATACTGACATCGATGTAGTAGGCCCTGTAATGTCCCTCGGGAATCGGGTCGGGACGACCCTCCACCATCTTGTGCCAGGCGAATGCGAACCTTTCAACAAGATTTAGGTCCAAGAGGTTGGCGTACCCATCCATCAGGACGTGTCGGGGGAAACGCGTCTGGAATTCTTCTGGCTGCAGCTTCATTCTTGGCGGCTCAGCTAGGTGACGAAAAGGCAAGGTCTGCTGAGGTCGGAGTACGTCTCCCACTTGTGCTTTTGTAGACCAGGGAGACGGGCATTTCGAGTTCAGGAGAAGGCGTTCGCGGGGAGAGACATAAAGGGTGCACTGCACAGGCTGGGAACAAACAGAGATGGAGTTTGCACTCGACGATTATTCTGCTTCTGCTTCTGCAGATGCACTGCCTTTTGTCAGTGCATGCGGATTCTCACGAAAGGAGTGCCCTTGTGTGGGTTGTTGGGTATCTGGTGTTCAACTACTTCCGGATAACTGCTCGCTTTATTATACATCCTTGCGCACCGCTCTTTTATCCACTTCCTGTTCACACTCACCCAGCTTCAGCCTCGGCAAGCAGCATATTCACTTTTGACGGTCCTCAGAGCCCTATTCTCTAATCCAGACGGCACCTTTCGGCCAACTTCCCCGGAGATGGTTCCGCGCTCGACCAACGTGACCTCGTGGGCAAGTCTTCCAGCGAAACTCGTCAACTTACTTGGCTTCTGCTCTCTGGGGTTGTCCAAGCAGTGGCAAAACAAGGACGGTAGAACATGGAATTGCAGCCATGCCAGGCTGTGGTGATGACCCGATGCCTCGTGTTTGACGACCTTTCAACGAAAAGACATGTGAATGGTAGTGGAACGAGAACGGACTAGACAGATAACAAGTCCGAGTATTTGTCATGAAAACTGTGACACCTCCTCGATGCGGTGGTCATTCACCTGCAGGACAAGTTGGAGCGAATGTCTAGCCACAGCTTCCATTCCCCAGCCGCCAGAAAGAGAATAGAACAATGCATTTGTGGCAGCAATAAAGCCTTGAGTCTGTGGAGGGAAGGGAGACAGAGCCACGATTAGTCAACGGGAACGGCGTTTTGTTATTTTGTCCTCGCCTTCCTCCATTTCAGCGCCATTCCCCCGACGAAGCCGCTGGCTTCTTGTCCATGGAGCAGCTTACTTATAGTCAGGGGTCAGGTCTGTAATGCTCGCCATGTCTCCGATTGGCAAATTGGGGTGCCATTCTATCCTGCAGCCCGAGACAGCATCATGCGGCTAGTCACTTGTCGACAGGTGACTGGCTAGCTTCAACAAGGGGATACCGAAAACATGGACCGCAAGGCTGCAGATGATACCATCATCAACGAGCTCATGACTCTCCCGACCTTCCTTGCTCAACTATCAGAAGATGCAGCAACGAAAAACGGCAAGTTCAATGCGCTCATTATGGCCATGACTTTTGCGACAGCCGTTCCCCGCAGATCATTGCACAGTTGTTACTTTCCGTCACAGAGAAAGATCATCATGTCTTGGAATGGAACGACGACCAGGTACAATCATCTTGAGTCGTTCTTCGTAGGCCCCGCGATGATGGAAAATTGGGCGCCGGCCCCAGCCCAAGTCAATCGCCTATTCTTCACATTCTTGCTTTCGATGCGCTGCATTACCTTCACGTCGTCGCTAGAGTTGTGACCAAGCTGACCCTGATAGCCATAGCCTGACGAGTAAGCGTTGCCGGCCTGGTCAATCAAGACGGTATGATCCGAGCTACATGCAACGAAAGCGGTCTGTTGAATAGTAGGGATCACGGCAGGACGTAAGCAAATGCGAGGCTTATTCCGTTCATCGTGGCGGATAAGCGTCGAGTCTTGCAATTGCTCAGGAGTAAATTCAATGCCCAATTGCCCATCATCTATTCGACCCCAGACTAAGCAATAACCCTTAGCGGTAACGGCAGCAGAGTGATGTGCACCGCCGTCCAGGACTAATACTTGCTGCTGGCAGAGACTGCGGATCTTAGTTGGTGGCACGAAAGCTAAGTCGCCCCCGGCACTTCGCGCGTCTCCAGCTTCGCCAAAGCTATTCGCACCCCAACCATAGACATTATCATCCCAGTCAACTGCAAAGCAATGATGACCTCCACATGCAATGTATTTAGCCTTATTGCGACATACTCGAACTTGGTGCGGTATCAGGGGGTTTGAATTACGCCCAATAAGACGGCGGCCAAATTGGTACTGCTCATTACAGCCTCAGGCCCAGATATTCCCTCCAGTATCAAGAGCTAAAGCGTGATTATCGCCACAGCAAATTTGTGTGATATTTTGGAGGCTCTCGATATAAAAGGGCCTGGCTTGTTTTTTGACGATCTTTCCACGCTCGTCATACCGGAAACCTTGCTCACCTCGAGAGTCCTGCGACGAGCACAACATTAGAATTGTTGCGTCTCTAGAAAAAGCAGAATACTTACGCGAAACGTGCCCCATCCGTAAACAAGACCAGTAGTGGTAAGCGCAAAGCTGCAATTGTCACCAGCAGCGTCCTGGCTAAATTGAGTACCTGGAGGAAAATAATCTGACGGAATCTCTGTAGGTGTTGATTCTTTAGGATTCATGTCTGCCTCATCGTCGTCGTCGTCGTCGTCGTTGTCCTCTGAATTGGCGTCGATGCTGCGTAGTTTACCCTCCCACTGCGTATCTCGGCCAAGAGCGTACTCATCGTTCACCCCCCAAGTGATAATCTTATTATCCGCTGTCAATGCAACCGTATGCATACCGCCGCAGGCAAGTTGGACAATGTGGAAGGCAGAAGGATCGCTAGCATCAAGAAGCGGATTGAGGGTAGGACGTAAAACCTCCTTCTTCCCGGGGCCAAGACCAAGTTCGCCACCTTCACCAGTGCCAAAGATGAGTACTGTAAGCTTCTCGGTAGGGACTTGGTTGATGACAGTAGAGCGGGATTGAGTCTCAGGTTCAGGCTCGGCGGCGCGTTTCGACACGCCCGAGCTGGTCTTTACTCTTTTCGAAACGGCGACGGGAGTGGTGGTGAATGCCTGATCATTGTCTCCATTTTCCAGGGAACGTTTACGCCGAGCCGAAGTCGAAGTACCTGTCTCAATTCGACTTGCACGGCCTGTGAACTTGCTTTGGGCGGCTTTCTTGATTCGCGGGGCGTTGTTTGATGGGCCCCTTGGTCTCTTTTCTTGAGGCTGAATTTTGCGTGTTGATGAGGGTTTTGTAGAAGGCATGTATACTACCACTGATATTCTGTTCTTGTTCAAGTAGGCAAGACGTAATTGGTGTTGAGTGTGTTGCACTCAGAAGTGGAAGCAGTGGAAGCGAAAATGTATCCGAGAGCGACACATTCGATGAGGCAGGTACTAAATTGGTGAAGAGAAAGTAAACAAACATTTTAGCTTGCTTCCCACCTGTGTTTAGACTCGGATTTTACCGCCCGGCAGAACGTGGATTGCTGGGGGCGCGACTCTTTTTGCAACCGGCGCGACTTTGCCCCACTAGAGCCTACACCTTAGCGAGCTGGCCCGTTTCCACAGGCGCACGGCTAAGGCCGTGATCCAGAACACGGGCGCTTTCATAAGTTAGTCTAAATTTTCATTAAAAATTTCATAAAAAAGTCACCTTTCTTAAATTAATATATAAAACCCATATAAATTTAAGTAAAGTTATATAAATTTAAAAATTAAATTAAACTCTCTTATAAGTTATAACTAATATACCAATAATACCATGTTAGCTAGAGCCGCGTAAACACCTGTAAAAGGCTTAAATACTAAGATAAGTCCGTAAGAATACGTTTTTAGACCTTTTAAAATAAAGCTAATTAAGTTAGCTCCGAAATTAGGTACATATTCATATCCCTATTATAAATTAATATTGATTGTAACTTTACGAACTTTTACCCAAGAAAGCTCCCGAGTTCTGGATCTGGGCCTAAGGGCAGGTTTTATAAAGGTTATTTCCTCTGTCACGTCCCGAAAAGTTCAGGACACCGTTCTGCAAAAACCGCCATCGATATCCAGCCCAGCAAATCAGATACTCTGACACTGAAGGCAACAGCCAACAAATTTAACCGTAAAATGCGTACGCTAACTAACAACTTTTCGACTATCTCCAGTCAACAACTCCACCAAAGTGTTACGAACGACACTGCACGAGAGACGGGACGGGACCGCACCGGCTAGGACAGGCACGACCCGTAGGCACAAGAAGAAGGTAGGGGCACGTGACTAGCCACGTGACCTAAAAGGCGATTAAAGACTTAAAGTGTTAAGTTAACGATTTAGGATAAGACTTAATAAGATTAAAGGTTAAGTTAATTAATTAAGAAGAAATAAACTAAAATAGAATCTAGATCCTTAAAAGGAGTAAGAAGAACCCTTATAGTCTTTTAAAGCTATTCCGCTTCCTCACGTTTTACACGTTCTAACTCTTTAACGTTATTAATACCACGCGCGACTATATGCATTATTTTCTTAAACTATAATCTCTTTTATTTTCGCAGACGCTTTATCTTTACGTCTATTAAACGACGCTCTTCTTTTATAGACTTAAGCTCCCTTTTAAAACGCATATAATAATCGGCTATTTAATAAAGCTAGGCTAGCGAGATACTCTACACGTTGTAATAGGACTTATAATCTATTACGCACTTAGCGTAATAGGAGAAATTGGAAGAAGATAGTTAATAAAAAGTAATACTCTTTTCCTTATAATAGAAATAAGAAGCCTTCTCTATAGTCTTAGAGTTAAAAAGAATTAAATATAATAAAGCCTTACACTACTTAAACTTCTAAGAACGCGTTCTTAACCTTTACTTAATAACACGATTAGCGGGTATAATAGCACCTAATAATAAAGAAGGGAAGAATTACCTAAGCCCTTAGCCGGCCTATTTTAATAGCCTTAAGGATAAGACTAATAAAGAAGGGGCATAATATTATAAACGATACTATACGAGAGACGGGATAGAACCGTACCAGCTAAAATAGGCATGACCCGTAGGCACGAGAAGAAGGTAAAGGCACGTGACTAGCTACGTAACCTAAAAGGCAATTAAAGACTTAAAGTGTTAAGTTAATAATCTAAGATAAGACTTAATAGAATTAAAGGTTAAGCTAGTTAATTAAGGTTTAAAGGGATTAATAGTTAAGCTATATTTTAATAGCCTTAAGAATAAGACTAATAAAGAAGGGGTATAATATTATAAATAACACTATACGAGAGACAAGACGAGACCGCACCAGCTAAGACAAGTATAACCTATAGGCACAAGAAGAAGGCAAGAGCACGTGACTAGCCACGTGACCTCTAAAATAAGATTTAGATTCTTAGAAGAAGTAAAAAGAACCCCTATAATCTTTTAAAGCTATTTCGCTTTCTCACGTTCCACACGTTTTAACTCTTTAACGTTATTAATATTACGCGTAACCGCACGCATTATTTTCTCGAACTATAATCTCTTTTATTTTCGTAGACACTCTATCTTTACGTCTATTAAACGACGCTCTTCTTTAATAGACTTAAGCTCCCTTTTAAAACGTATATAATAATCGGCTATTTAACGAAGCTAAGTTAGCGAGATGCCTTACACGTTATAATAGGACTTATAATCTATTACGCACTAAGCGTAATAAGAGGAATTAAAAGAAGATAGTTGATAAGAAGTAATACCCTTTTTCTTATAGTAGGAATAAGGAGCCTTCTCTATGATCTTAAAGTTAAAAAGAATTAAATATAATAAAGTCTTACACTACTCGGACTTCTAAGAACGCGTCCTTAACCTTTAATAAGGCTATTAAGAGTATAACTTTAAATAATAGAACTATTACTTAAATTAATTAATAGAGATTTAAATTACTTAATTATAGAAATACCTTCTCCTTAAGTACTTATTTACCTCTTTATTATAATTTTAAATTAAGTAAAGCTTATTTAATCCCTTATATTAGATTAAGTTAATTCCCTTTAATCTATTAAGTTAAATTAAACTAATCCTATTTAATTCTATCACGTGACCTGCGATCCCGTTAGGCTCTATTCTTGTCTGTTATTAGCGGCTTATGCCTCCGGCCAACTGCTTTAGGTACCCTTGGTTCGTAACAATAAATATGTCGCACGCAGAGTATTAACTGTAGTGTAGTTTTGAATTGGTTATAATATTAGCTAATTTATGTATTTATTACTATAATCCAAGTATTTTATTAGATTTATTATTAATTATTTAAGCTTTTTTAAAAAATGAAAATGTAGTTTTCTTGTCAATGCTCTGGTCGCACGGCACAACAGGCCCACTAGCTATATCGGGCAAGAGGCCACGTAATGCGCACGCAATATAGACAACGTGCGCAGTAATCGTGGAGCCGAGCGCCCCCTTTTTAAGGGGCGCACACAATTCTCTCTTTTGTAGCCCAATCAAGGCTTTTTACAACTATTATTGATGTGAATTCTGGATGTGATGCCCGTGACTGTGTGACAGAAAATACACGGTGGGGGTGTGGGCAGCTAGCCACTAGGCTAAATCGAGCCAGCCGGTAGTAGCACGGACAGCACGACCCGTTGTAAATCTCTTACCAGTACGTCTAATCGGAGCTGTATTTTAGTGTGGCTTGGTTGGGGGGAGGTGGTGGGGGCTGTAACTTGGCGGGCCGGCCACACCTTTTTTGCCATATCCTCACATTTACTTCTAGTGATGACGCGTCGGAATCACTTCATGGCTTTATTTACGATATTTTTTCATGACTATTATAACAATAAAAAAACTCATGCACCCGGTATAAGCTACTCCCTTCCTTCTTCCTTTGTGTTTTTGAACGAATTGGGCCCTTTTAATGCTGCTGCCGTTCAAGGCCGTTGAATTTTAAAGCCAAAATTACGATATACGCGTTTATTGAGGCGGGCCCGTTCCGACGTGTAAAACACACTAAAGGGTGTGGGTATCGGCTATCTTCCCGGATTTGGTTAGTAGTCATGCATGCATATCTTGGCACACTAAAATACCGCTCCGATTAGACGGACTGATCTCACATGTCAATGCACCCTAGGAGTTGAGATGGTTTTTTCTCTCTCAACAGACCCGGGCGTTAGCCGTGTTGTCCTACAACGTTGCTAATCCGCCCACGACCTCTGCGAGGAGATTTTCCCCGTCGGAATATTTGGGATGCAAAGCTTGGTGATGTTGGAAGTATTGCAGCAATTCACACGGTGGACAAGGCAGATATTGGGCAGGCTTTTAGCGGCCTTATTCGAGCAAATTCAATAATATTAACAATGGATGAAGATCTCTGTTAACTACACTAAAATCCCCAAGATTGACCCCTTTTATACCCTGGAAGAGCCCCTGAAGACCCCTGCTGAGACCCTCAATCCGTGCATGTGCCCTAAATTGAGCCATAGAAAGGGCAACCAGTAACGTGACCAACAGCCTCCAAATATCACCTTTTCCACCCAACAGGTGATGATCGACACGTTGCCTAAACCAGCATCAACCTCGGCCACTCCTATACCTCACGTATTCTGCCTGACGAATTAGTCCTTGGTGTCGGATAGACGAGATATGGCTATTACTATGTACTGACCCGTATTGAAATGACGACGTTATATATGAGAAGACACCCTCGTCGGAAGGTGTAGGGTTCTATACGGCGAAACCTCCAGAATTCCTCTGTCTTGGCTCTCCAGCCGCCTCAAACGTTCCGTTGGGCAATAGCCGCAATCCTTGTGCAGTGCTTTGTCCCGGAGCTACCCACGTGGCATTGTAGCCCAGAGACTTCATATACGCTACTGTTCGGTTGTTGTATGTGTACTCAAAACTCACTCGGCTCGGGACAAGCTGATCGTGGAGCCTTGGCTGCTTCAGGGCGTCGGGGACCGTCATGTTGCCGTCTAGCAGGTGGATTGTGTTCTGGATATTCGCAGTAATGATGCGACTCCCTCCCGCGGATCCAATGGAGAAATATAGCTTGCCGTCTGCTGTCTCGGCAATGATGGGGGAAATTGACGATAGCGGCCGCTTTCCCGGCCGAGCAAAGTTTGCGGCGCTGGGAACATATCCGAAGGCGTTGCTTTCCCCGGGGGTGCTAAAGTCGTTCATTTCATTGTTCATGATGACGCCGGTTTCAGGGACCATGAGGCTCGATCCGAAGAGTAGGTTGATTGTTGTCGTCATTGACACGGACATGCCCTGGGCGTCTGCAGCGACGACGTGTGATGTTCCGGGTGTTTCCAGAGACTCGAGGCCTTCCGGGTCATAGTGCGGCACGTCAAAAGTCTTTTGGTCGGTTATCTTGGAGCGAACCTCGTCACCCGTCTTGGACGAAATCATGTCCTTGGTGTACTTGTCCAAGCCCGCAACAAAGGATGGATCGCCAAGTTTGGTACGCTGCCCATACGCAAATTTCATCGCCTCATCCATGAGGTGTGTTGACAGATTCGATCGGCTTGGATCTGGGAAGTCGTCATATCCACTCAAGATGTTCAAGGCACTGAGAGCCACGACGCCGCTCGAGGGAGCATTTGTACTGGTGAGTTTGTATCCCCGATACTTTAACTGCACCGGTTCTCGAAGGGCAACGGTATAACTTCCGAGGTCCTCCAAGGTCATGGTTCCGTTGGCTGCCTTTAGAGCCCGAATCGTCGCGTTTGCGATGGCGCCAGTGTAGAAGGCATCGGCGCCTTCGTTCGCAATGGTCTCGAGCGTGTTTACATATCTCTTTCGTGTCATGGTTTCGCCCAAGCGCACACGACACCCCCTCGGGGCGAAATCCATGGCCCAAGACGGGTCTTCGGTGAGGAATGCGTTTGGAGACGTCGAGTCCATGTACCGGACCAAATCCTCAGTCACGTGGAACCCGAAACGCGCGAGCTTGATTGAAGGTGCCATCACATCAGGCCATTTCAGAGCGCCGTATTTCTTGTGGATGTATTCCGTGCCTCTCAACTCGCCAGGCACTCCGCTGGAAGCAATGTTAGACAAACCAAACTCCCGTCCTGCCACGGGGATAGGGTCGTCCAGGGACAACTTGCCTGGCCAACCCGCCGTATATACTTGCGTTGGCGTTTCCCTTGTACATGTCTTCAAAGGCCGCCGCCGGAGCAGTTTCACGGAAGTCGACAAACTCGTAGGTGCCGTTTGGTGATCTCAGCAAGAGAAAGCCGCCGCCGCCAATCCCGCTGTGATACATGCTCGTGACGCCCACACAAAACACTGTGCCGACAAGAGCGTCCACTGCATTGCCGCCGTCTTCCAGCAGGCGCGTTCCTATTCTGCTACATATGCTGTTTTCTGATGCGACGGCTCCGAGCTTGGGACCGCCATGACTGCAGCATTGGGTCTGGCCATTGACTACCGGGGCCAGAGCAGCGGCTGTTAGAAGCAGACGCAAGAGGCACTTGACGTGATGCAGAGACATGCCGAGGGTCTAGATGATTTCGCTGACGACTTTGTTCTTTCTTCTTGAAAGCGGCCTCGGAGCATCATCAGGGGTATTGGGACCCACGGTCGAGGAGACATGGAGGATTTGCTTTTTGCCCATCCGTTCCAATGCCTGTACGACCACAATGCATTCTTAACCGGTCCAATACGACGACAGGTCAGCAATCCGCCAGCCGCCCATTGTCAGACTGTACCGACTATTGCTCGCCTACATGACCTAAATCGCCATCCATATGCCTTGGCTAACCCCAGTACCCAACCTCAACTTGAATTAACCGTCGACGCCTAACTAACCCTAACCTTGACCAGTATTAGGTCAACTGGTACTTTTGTCTCTACTGTAACTCCACCGTAGCTCCACTATAAATTACCAGACACCTCAAGACAATCCAGTCATTAGCAATGCATTGATGTGATCAGGTCAGGTCAGGTCAGGTAGGCGAGCAATGGTCGGGTCGTCTACCGTTCAATGTTGACACTTGTTACGACGCGGCCGCAGGCTGCAGTGTACCAGACGTATGTAGGTCGCAGAAGGGCCGGCTGCGTGAGCCACGGAGAGAATACCGCTGACATAGGGCGTGTAAGTGATCAAAGCGTTCACGGTTTGATCCCTCGGACTGACACAGGAATCAAGAGACTCGTGCTTTAACTCACTTATGACCTTATATTATAGGTTATATTGGTATTGTAATTTGCCTTATCGATAGACTCTAGCTCCTCAGTCTTTGACACAATTATTACATTGAACAAAGCCTAGCTTTACCAGTCTCTGGCTCTAATCCACTTGGCTACCGTCCACGACCTATCGCCAACGTAACGTCGAATCGCTTAGATCGAACCCGCAGTGTCTCTGCCAGCGTAAACCCTGTTCGGCTTGACCCTTGGCAACCCTAGCCGCCACAACACTCTCATCTTGGACGCGTTCCCACTTTTTGGGGGTCCAACGGCCCGAGGATCAGTCGATTGGTTACCTGGCCCTGGTCCACGTAGTTCATGACTCGAGCACTTCATTGAATACATATTGAAATCGTGAGATGCTGGCCAGTGGATCAGCTAGTACGTGCACTTGGCGTCCCCTTCAACGGCTCAACTTACTCAGTCGGTCGCTCAGAGAAAACGCGGACGAATCGTGGCTGCCAGGATATTTGCAGAAATAAAGACACCGGGCGGTCCAAGCAAGTGTACCGTGTCATGCCGACACATGCTGCTCCAGCTGTCTGTACCCTTGACCAGACAGAAATAACGACGAGGAATTCACAGCAGCAAGCAATATTGTCGAGACTGGGTGTTGCTAGCAGAGTGACTAGAGAGATATTACAGAGAGCCTCGCTACGAGATGGCTGCTAGTTAGGTCTGTAATTGTGACTATATTAATCTCTGAACCTTTTACTGGGATCATAACAGATAGACAGTACCTCAACTACACATATAAACTTACAGGTTAAACATGTATCTTACGTTTTGCCTGTACAAGTCACTATAAAATCAAATTGACAGCCTTTATTTACCTGCGAGACCAATCATAGACCGTATTATTTTGCTCAATTTATGGGGCTGCAAGCCCCGCGCCAGGCTTCCAACAGTTAAGGAGATACACAGGCTCAGAGTTTCCTTTTCATGTCTGCCTAGGTAGCTATCATCTTGTGACTAGGGTCAAGTATACCTAGGGGTATAATTAAGCTCGAGGCTCTAGAGCCTAGGGGATACACTAGTGGGTCCCCAGTGGTCCGTGCGGTAGTTCCCGCTTTTAGGCTCTGACAAATATCTACTGATTGATATGCAACATGAACATTTCATCAATTGTTGTTCTAGACCGCTTATTCCCGAAGCGAAGCGCCACTTGACTTCAAGCGGCCGGATAGGTCGTAGTCGTGCTTACTGAAGAGGTCAACTGGTCCAATTGTAGCCCAAGGGAATACACTGATATCCGCTCTGCACATTGCAGATCCCGGTCACCCGCATGCCCCCGGATACATGTAACAATGCGAAGAGCTCAGGTAGACCATGATACTGCTGAGGGAACATTCTGTACTTGGACCAAAGTACCTTGTTCCGCCAAGATGTTGAGTTAATTAAACTCAAAATTTTTTTTTTTTAAAAAAAAAGGGCCAGGTAAGCATGCAAGACATCGAGTACCGCTATATTTTGGCTGTATCTAGGGCAGGGAACCGTAACCAACAACCAGACGCGATATACACGAGTACACGCATCGCGATGCGTGTACTCGTGTATATCGCGTCTGGTTGTTGGTTACGGTTCCCTGCCCTAGATACAGCCAAAATATAGCGGTACTCGATGTCTTGCATGCTTAACTGGCCCTTCTTTTTTTAAAAAAAAAAGGGCCAGGTAAGCATGCAAGACATCGAGTACCGCTATATTTTGGCTGTATCTAGGGCAGGGAACCGTAACCAACAACCAGACGCGATATACCAGAGTACACGCATCGCGATGCGTCAGAGACACTTGCCAGAACTAGCAAAAAAGAAAACACCATGTGCTATTTTATCCTCATCGCGGAGGTTCTGCCAAGATGTCGCAGCAAGTGATTGATCAAATTTTTACAAATCTTGGCGTGAGCAAGTCCCAGGACGACCGAGTGACCAAGAGTCTGGGCGGATACCAACCCCCGGTTTCGCACTTACACCGTGGCTATGAGAGGAGAGGAATGCAAGGGCACTTTTATATTTGAAGAAAGTATACCGCAGAGAAACGAGTGGTACGAGACTGAAGGTCTCACAGACGTGTACTACCACCACATGTATCATCTTCCATTTCTGAGTGGACAGCCATTCTAAGCGACCATTCTAGGCATTTAGAATATATGGAAGAAACCAGGCCGGCCGACCAAGGACGATGCAAATCTGGAGCTTGACCTGAACGGTGACGCTCCAGCTGTGGACTACCGGAGGAGTCGCGGTTGAAGCATTTCCATACGTTGAGCCAGAGACATAGCCAGAGTACCAGGCAGAGGAGCTCGAGCACAAGCCTGAGCCGGATACACCCCCAGACTGACCACCAGATCCATGTCCGGACTCCATACTGCTGCTTCCATCATCAGTATGACTGTGTCGTGCATTCTCTTCGCTTCCACTGCCGCCTCCATATTCACCCGAGTCGCTCCCGAATCCATCGTCTCCTGAGTCGCTTCCACTGCCATTTGCTGCATCAGTTCCCGTGGGTTTCCCAGATCCACGGCCTTTGCCACTTTTGTTGTTCTTGTCGTTCACGGAAGTAGTACCCGAAATGTCGGGGGGTCCTGAACTGTTGCCGGTTTCATTGCTGGCTCCATTTCCAGATCCATTGTCAGAGCCAAGATTGCCACCACGATTTTCAGAATCAGAGTCAGAGCCGGTGCCGTTGTCGAAATCATGATTGGATCCTAAGCTGGAACCCGGACCACTGATAGGGGTGTTGCCGGAACTATTTTGGCCGCTTCCAGAACCGTTGCCATTTTGGTCACCATTTCCATCACCACTGTCAAGGCCATTGGATCCTGGAGACACGGGTACTTTGTCCTGACTATTGCCACGGCCATGATACCCCTGGCTTCCTGGGTTCTCAGTTGGCTTGGCGGTACTCATTGCAGGCCAAATACTCGTAGGAACAATGACTATGGATGTCGTCTCGGGAACAGTCTTGGTGATTGTTGAAGAGCAGTCCTCGTCTGGTGAGCCAGCCAAGACAGTAGCGCTCAAAAAGAGCGGCAGGGCTGCCGCAATGCCAGTTCCACAACGCATGGTAGTCTGGTAGGAAACTAAAAGAGAAGGGAAGCTAATAGAGCCACCTAGTGACCTGTGGAAAAAGATGAAGAGAATAGTGACTCTGAGTCTCAAAGTTGGACACAGTTTCGTCCTAGTTATGATAGGGACATTCGCGTTACTTTATAATTCAGTCATTTTGGTTTTCGTTTATTATTTTTTTTTTCAATACAGACAGTAATACTACTGCAAGTATTATGCAGGCATGATACAAGTATTACAGGGTTACTTTATAATATTATCCTTCCTAGAGACCAGGGGTTGTGGCCAACCTCGCAAGGCCATTTGCAAGTTGATGAATATTGAACTGCCGGGCTAAATTGAACGGAAGCAGAGATATCATCCGCCCACCGTCTCGTACGATCCCCGAGGCAACACACCCTGTCGAGCGTCGGTCTAGACCGTGCGAGCAACTACTTCCCGAGTTCACAACTTCCATTTGGAGAAAAGCATCGGTGTAATTTAGTTTTGATTTGGGCACCACTTATACAATTGGAGAGGAGTGTCCTGAAAGAGGCCCCGAGGTAATGCCACTTGACAAGAAGCACCTCGATATTCGATGTAGCCGGTCTCGCTGTCCAAGCAGGGCAATCACATTAGTCCACAAACCGTCATCGTCTCAATTCAAGATCATTTTTTCCCCGGTAAAGTTTTTCGATCCCTGGCAGTCCATACCTATGGAGCCTTTATCAATATCATGACTCGCGGGCTGCGCGGTGACAAATCCGTCTTGAGCTCTGTACTTGCTGACCAACTTCATCCCGGGAGCTTTCTGAGGTGGTGAAATATTATTATTGAGGATTGCATTACTTTGCGAATAGTAGCATCCTTGCTCTTTTGTTGTTGGTGAAGACGCATAAGATAGGGGGGTGGATAATGGATGGTGACAACCGTGGATTATTGGCATATCCAAGGTGAGCATTGGTCCGGCGGATCCAGAAAATGAATATTGATTCTGCAACTCCGGTCAAAATTTTCGCGTCTTGTAAAATCACTCACCGACACAACGTACGATGATCTACTCGGCATCATTGGGAGCTGAGGCCATCGGAGTAAACTATGGATACTTGAGTGCGTCGAGTTTTTCGCAAGTCAGCACACCACTTATATAAACGGCATAGATTCCCTGTACTGATGGAGACCATTAGAAAGTCAGAGATAATTTTTAATAAGAATTTGTTGAATGTCCTTGGTTTAATTTCGCCGCGGGAGTTCGTGGAATAGCCGTCGATTGGCCTTGGTAACCAAAACACCTCAGGCAGTGACAATGATATCATACTCCCTTTTGGCAGCAGCAGTCCTTGCTGGGAATCATGACACTGGCGGAGCCGGTCCTGTGCCCAACTCGGACTATTGTCCAGATGGCGTATGTACCTTGAAGGCACAACATACACGGGTCCTCACCATAACTCCTGTTCTTGTCTCGACACACTGTCCATATAATATGGACTTGGTGATTGATCATGCCAATACTATCCTTTGTACAAACGCTCCGACGGACATTTCTACAATCATTACAATTACCAATACTGGCAGCCCTACCATGACAAGGTATGTCGTGATTTGTATCGGATGAACGCTGTGCATTCTGGACTAACACGGCATATCAGTCTACAGAATGGCATACCAGCAAAGCCCACCGGGACAGGGAAGCTTCCATCATCAAATACAGTGACTATACAGGGCTTTCGTGGACAAAGCTCGCAAAGTAGTGATATTAGAAATAGCGATAGCAGGCCAACTGCTCCTGGAGCGAGCGGACCTGGCCACGGCAAGACTGGGCATGCTGCCGCCCATACTGACAACCCGAGTGCCAGTAGCAGGCCTGGAAGCTCAAACAGCAAGCCACCTAGTAATTCTGCCTCCAGTACTTGTACCATCCCAGTGTCACCCGGACCGGAAGAATCATCTCCTTCTGGGAACCCTCTTACGTCGAGCTCTGCCTGTTCTTCCTCTATTGCAAATGTCTCTTGCGGCGCTGCCGGTCCCGAGCATACAAGCTCCCAGTTCGCTGCCTCCCTAGGAGAGAGCTCAGCAGTAGAAGGCTCCCAGACGGCAGGTTCCCAGGCAGAAAGCTCCGCAGAATTAAGTTTTCAGCTGGGGGCATTGCCAACAAAAGTCTCACAGACGGGAACCCTTTCGTCGGAAAGGTCGCCGATGGCAACTTCCCGGTCAACGCGCCAGTCAATAAACATACAGACGGAAGCATCAGCGGATACTACTCCGGAAGAGGCCTCCCGGACTGAGACCCCCCCGTCGATGAGCCCACATACGAAAGCATCACCAACAGGAACCTCGCAGACGGGGACCTCGCGGTCCTCTCAGGCGGTGACCTCTAGCAGTGCGGAAACAAGTCCGTCTTGGTCACTGTTGACCTCTCCTTCATCGATGCCCATGATTACCGTGGCGCTGTCAGCCACGGAGACTGCTAGTACCGAGACCTCTTGGACCTCTTCTGCTTCTGCCAGCTCTACCATCTCTTCCGCCTCTACTACCTGTTCACCAGCTGCACCTGCCAAGGTCTGTGCTACAGGACTTCCTCGCCCCTGCAAAGATTTGATCAATCTGAGCGGCATTAATCTCAACATTCTTCAGGATGCCGCGGGATGCACCTTGGCACTCGGCGCCTTGGTTAGAGACGTTTCTCAATGTTTCGTGCTAAGACCAGTGGACCTGCTTCCTCCATGGAAGAAAGTCGTGAGCTGCCTGCAAGATAAAATCGGAGACATTTGTCTTCCTCGGTTGCCCGATGCTTGTACAGGCCTCGCGGGTCAGAGTGGCGTCAACTTGGCCACCAACGTAGCTGCTTGCACCGGTCAGCTAGGACCATTCGCGGCCGGGAAAACACTCGAGTGCTTAAAGGCGGGCTTTGTCAACGGCCATGATGTCGTTGCCTGCCTGCGCGGCACCACCGGGCTGGGTTTGCCGACCTGCGCACCCGCCGGCCCTGCTTGTGTATCGGCCTTGGCCCCTGATTGCGATCTTCTGGGCGGCCTGGACGGATTCGACATCAGTCTGTCCAGGCTGGAGGGCTGCGCCAAAGCCATTGGCTCATATGCCGGTGGTGTTGCCGAGAAGTGCCTTAACCCGCTCGCAGTCGTGCAGACTACGCTGGGAGGCGGCGTTGTTGCGTGTCTCGGCGACGCGCTCAAAGACGTATGCATCCCGACGCTGCCAGACGCCTGCTTTGACCTCATTACTGTGAGCGACGGTCAGTTGACGACGCAACTGCCCCAGTGTATCGATGCCTTGGGGCCGTTCAAGAGCGGAGCTGTGCTTGATTGCATCACCAGACCGGCCTCGGGCCCGGGGCTTGTGCTTTGCCTCAACAAGGCAATATTCGGGTCTTGATGGTTGTCTGTAAGAGCATCTGTAGATGTTGGCACGATGGGACCGCCGTTGCTTACATCTGCTGCATGTAGACGAGGTCTGGTGTTTACAGACGTGGACGCACTCGTTGACATGCTTTCCGTAGAATAGCTCCTGTTTTAGATTAAGTTTGATTGAATAAAGGCCACAGGAATTCCTTTTATACGCGGGGCTCCTTTATGTAGTATCGGATCCATCATGGAAGAGTTTTCGTGCCACAGGTAACCAACTTGTTTGAACCTCCTTATCTGAAGGACATGGAGTCATGGACCCCGTGCCAAAGCCCACCCGAACTAGATGGATCCCGATAATGACACTCCGGCCGTGTTATCGCAGTTGCGTCTGCCTTTCTGCCGCTCGACCAACCGTTGCTACTCGGTTGGCTTGGCGGACGACACGTAGTGCTCATGGAATCACAAACACTCAACCTCGACACACTCGGGCTTGAGACGGTCCAATGAGGGCCATGGTGGCCACGGTGAGCACAGATAACAGCCCAGACTAACAGATCGGTTTGGGGGCGAACGGAATAGCTAGCCACTTATTTTGCGGGGTAAGAGACTGGAGGGTAAAAGGATATCGGAGGCTTGAAATTGGGAACCCCGCGAGTTGGTTTCCGTGTTGGTGGCTTGGTATATGACGGGCATGGCGTTCCATGTCGCCCGCCATCTTTGCACTCTCGACTCATCGCCTGGTCTCTTCTGCGCAAAGAGATGATTTGTGGGCTTGGTAATTTCATTCGGAATTTATAGTCCATCTTATTCCTCCTCCATCATGCCCGGCAAGATCCGCACCGCACAGAAAGTGTCCTTTGACGTCCCGGCTGGAGAACAGCCCGGCTTACACAACCGCTGGCACCCAGACAGTAGGTTCAAACCGTAAATGGCAAACTACATGTCCACATCTGACACAAGAGCTTCAACCGCAGTTCCCTCGATTGGCACCATCAAGCGGGGCGAGACGGTCAAAATCGAATGTCTGGACTGGACGGGAGGGCAGATCGGAAACAATGACAGCGCCGACGACGTCCGCAACGTCGACCTCACCAAAATCCACTATCTGACGGGGCCCTTTGACGTCGAGGGCGCCGAGCCGGGCGACCTCGTCGTCGTCAACATCACCGACATCCAGCCCTTCGACCACTCTCCCTGGGGCTTCACGGGCGTCTTTGACCGCGACAACGGCGGCGGCTTCCTCGACCGACCTACACATATAAA